AAAAAAAAAAAAAGAGGAGGCTTGGCATTGGATGTTAGCTCAGGGCTGATCTTCCTCACAAAAAAAAAAAAAAAAGACTTCGCTGAGCAGAAGCAAAGGGAGTGTCCACTCAGCGTGAGGGGACACAGCCCAGAGGGGGCACAGGGGGCTGACAGGGGCCTCTCCAGGCCATTCTCAGGGCTTTCCCCATGTACCATGTCCCAGCCGGGGAGGGAACTGTGGCTGCTGGGAGGGCTACAGAGCAGGGCTCAGACCCTGGGCCAGGGAGTGTCAGAGGGGAACGAGCCATGGCGGGGGATCCCAGGCAGACCCTGACCCTGTAGGCCTGGAGGTGATGCAAAGTAGGGCAGGCGGGCTGGGCCCAGGGCAGGGGCTGAGCTGGGACAGACCCCAGGTGACACCCAGCAGCAATCAGCAAGCAGTGAGGCGCCCACAAGAGGACGGGGGTCCTTTCTCTTCTGTTCCTCAGATGAGATCCCACCTCCGGGGCAGACGTTGGGGCCTTGGCTTTCCTCTGGGGCCTCTGCTGTGTCTCTCCATGCCAAAGGCCTTGGCCAGCTCAGGGAGGAAGGGAGCCAGGCCCCCTGGGGCATGGAGCTCGGGGAAGGGGTGGGTCAGAAAAGACAAAACTGCCACATGGCCAGGCTTTGGCATCTCAGTCCCCCGCCTGACCTCCATGGCAACTGACTGGTAAGTTCTGGACATGGCGCCCCCTCTGGGCTGAAGTCCTCCAAGTGGGCTAAGCTCAGGTAAGTTCGTCCTGAATACCCCTCCATGCTCCAAAAGGCCCCAGGCTCCCCTGCACCCTGACCTGCCCAAGGCCATGGACATGCACCGGCCCCCTCCCTGTTTCAGCCCTGCTCCCTAATTCTGAGCATACGAGTCTCCTGGGTGCTTTGTCTTATTGCCCTGAAGGCAGGGACTGAGTCTGTGCAAATAAATCCTAGACATGTCCTGGGCACCTACCCCATCCCAGGCAGGCCCCAGGTGAGGGGGTGAGAGACCAGCCTCTGCCCTCAGAGGATGCAGCACACCCACCAGAACGGCTACCACCAACAAAACAGAAAATGACACAGGTCGGCAAGGATGTGGAGAAATTGAAACCCTTGTGCACTCTTGGTGAGAATGTAAAATGGTGCAGCTGCTGTAGAAAAGTCTAGCAGTTCCTCAAAAAAGTAAACATAAAATTACCATGTGATCCAGCATTCCACTTCTTGGTATCTACTCAAATGAACTGAAAGCAGGGACACGAAGAGATACTTGCACACCCAGGTTCACAGCAGCATTACTCACAATAGCCAAAAGGTGGAAACAACCCAAGTGTCCATCAACAGGTGATGGATAAGCACAATGTGGTCTATCCATACGATGGGATATTATTCAGTCTTTATTTATTTTTTCCCCCAAAGCCCCAGTAGATAGTTGTATGTTATAGCTGCACATCCTTCTAGTTGCTGTATGTGGGACGCGGCCTCAGCACGGCCAGAGAAGCAGTGTGTCGGTGCGCACCCGGGATCCGAACCCGGGCCGCCAGCAGCAGAGCGCGCGCACTTAACCGCTAAGCCACGGGGCCGGCCCTTATTCAGTCTTAAAAAGGAAGGAAATTCTGACACCTGCTACAACATGGAGGAACCTTGAAGACACTATGCTGAGTGAAATAAGCCAGACACAAAAGGACAAATATTGTATGATTCCACTTATATGAGATTCCCAGAAAAGTCAAATTTATAGAGACAGACTATCATTTGATGCACAAATTTTTTCAATCTTCATGAGGTCCAATCATTTATTTTTTCTTTTGTTACCTGTCACTTTGGTGTCATATCCAAAAAATCATTGTCAAATCCAATGTCATGAAGCTTTTGTCCTATGTTTTCTTCTAGGAGTTTTACAGTTTTAGGTCTTACATTTAGGTCCTTGATCCATTTTGAGTTAATTTCGTATATGATATCAGGTCAGGGTCCAACTTCATTCTTTTGCACGTGGATACCCAGTTTTCCCAGCACCGTTTGTTGAAAAGACTGTCCTTTCCCCATTGAGTGGTCTTGGCACCCTTGTCAAAAACCATTTGACCCTATATGGGACGGTGTATTTCTGGGCTCTCTGCTCTATTCCATTGGTCTATACATCTGTCTTTATGCCAGTACCACACTGTTTTGATTACTGTAGCTTTGTAGTAAGTTTTGAAATCCTGAAGTGTGAGTCCTCCAGCTTTGTTCTTTTTCAAGATTGTTGTGGCTATGTGGGGCCCTTGAGATTCCAAATGAATTTTAGGATGGATTTTTCTTTTTCTGCCAAAAATGTCATTGGGATTTTGATAGGAATTGCGTTGAATCTGTAGATCACTTTGGGTAATATTGATATTTTAACAATATTAAGTCTTCCAATCCATGAACATGGGATGTGTTTCCATTTCTCTTCTTTAATTTCTTTAAGCAATGTTTTGTAGTTTTCATTGTACAAGTTTTTCATCCCTTCCAGAAGCTTCCATTCATTAAGCTGAATGGCTTTTAAGACACTGTCAGGGGCCGGCCCTGTGGCTTAGTGGTTAAGTGCACGCACTCCGCTGTTGGCGGCCTGGGTCCGGATCCCGGGCGCACACTGACGCACTGCTTCTCCGGCCATGCTGAGGCCGCATCCCACATACAGCAACTAGAAGGATGTGCAGCTATGACATACAACTATCTACTGGGGCTTTGGGGGAAAAAAATAAATAAATAAAATTATATATAAAAAAAAAAGACACTGTCAGCTTTTGAGGTTTCATCTTGCATAAGTTGCCTATTCATATGCTTTTCTCTCACTTGTCTACAGATTGTCCTGACTTGTTCTGTTGACTTGCAGTTCCGTGCATAGTCTAGAGATTAATCCCTTGTTTTCAACTTTGAAGACGTTGCCTCCAGGTACGTGTTTGTTGACTTTGTTGATGTTCTTTTTTGTTTTTTTGTGAGGAAGATCGGTCCTGAGCTAACATCTGCCAATCCTCCTCTTTTTGCTGAGGAAGACTGGCCCTGGGCTAACATCCGTGCCCATCCTCCTCCACTTCATATGGGACGCTGCTACAGCATGGCGTAACAAGCGGCGCGTCAGTGCGCGCCCAGGATCCAAACCTGCGAACCCCGGGCTGCCGCAGCGGAGCGCGCGCACTCAACCTCTTGCGCCACCAGGCCAGCCCCTGATGTTCCTTCTTGAAGAGTTCCTTTATTCTTCTTGTGCAAGTTGGCAAAAACTATTCATGTCTCGCTTTGGCTGGAGCAGACTCACAGTTTCAGAAGTTGTGGTGGCTAACAGCTATCTTTCTTTTCTCGAGTTCCATCTCCTTTCTCAAAGCTCAGCGTTTCAGTGCACTCAGGACTCAGAGTTACCTGGAGAAATGATGCTGACAAACATGAGATTTTCCACAGGGGCCTGAGGTGACGCCACATGTCCTCACGAGGGCCTCGAGGAGAGGAGTCACTGTGACAGGCTTCCCTCGAGCAGTAGAGTCTCTTTTTGTGGATGTGAATAATCGGGACCCGCAGGTGAAGGCAGTGTGCCGTGCCCTACAACACGCGCAGCCAAGCAGCAGCACCCCACAGCGAGACTTCCGCACCATATTCCCCCACTGAGTGGGTATAGTGATGGGGTCTGACGTCTGGTTACTGTCCCAAAGGCGCCCCCCAAAAAAATCCTGTGTCTTCTGTCCTGCAGAAATCTTGCTACCCCAGAGGCGGGAGGGAGGGACATGTGCCCCTACCACGTGTGGGCAGGGTATCCAGGGCCTCGAGTCCTCACATCCATGTGGAGGATACGCTGCTGTTTGCAGAACGGATGGACGCACGGAGTAGAGGGATGTGCCCACTGGTCCCAACGCCAGGAGGTGGAGCCACAACAGGGCCAGCCAGTGTGGCTGCCATACCAGACAGCTACCTCCTTCTCCTCCTGGTTCCTTAATAAAGGTGTCCTCTCCTCTCCTGCTGTTCTAAGCAATGTGTTGCTAACTCAGCATGGAGTTATCTGCTCTGTTCCCTCAATCCACTCACACTGCCAATGAGATTTCTCCTCCTGAAAGTGGAAAGCTGCCCAGGGCAAAAACAATTTCTTCTCATCACTCAGTATGTTTCATGGGGAGTCAAAGGGCCGCTGTCAAACGCCAGCAGCAAAGCAGGATGGAGGCCTGAGCTTGGCAGAGTCCACTTTCTGTTTGACTCTCCACAGGTCCGTCATGTTTTTGGGGCCCCTTGCTCCTGACCCAGCCTAACAGAGCCCCCTCCTCCGCCCTCCCATGGACTCTTAAGACCCCTCCCCAACTAACTGAAAGCACTGCTAGACAAGATCCCCGCCGGTGTAACCTGCTTCCCAGTGGCAAAGGCAAAAAGAGCATCTTTTCTCTCCACATTTGAAAATAAGTTCTTCCGAATCCTCAAGGTTTTTCAATCTAGTGCACCTTTACCTCCCTGACCCAACCTGCAAAGAATTAAGTTTGAAAATTTGTAACAGCTGCAGAAGACTCGAGTCTGCCCTCAGACATGCTAACCCTCCTTCACTGATGGGGAAGGACCTGGGAAGAAAGGTCTTGGGAGGACAGACTTGCCAAAGACCCCAGAGCCAGTTAGCCACATTCACACTCGAGTCCCATGGCTCCGTTATTACGTTCCGTTCGTCAGTTCCACGGTTGCTGTCCTTTGATGTGCTTTTCAAAGAAAAACAATCCCCAACCCCACTCCCACCTAAACGTAAAGACCTGGGAATTCGCATGAAAGCCCAGGGTCCGTGTGGCTCCAAGCACTCCTGTCAGCACAGCATAATGCCAAATGCTCAAGTACCCAGGACATGTTTTCCTAAGAGCCCACAACGTTGACTGGGGATCTCCAATCCTAAAACTGCGCTATGCCCCAGCCCTCCTTGTTCTTACACTACCCTCGTTTGAGAGAAACCACATCATTGCCCACCTGAGCTGAAGCTGTCCCACCCACGACACCTCGCAGGCAGCCCTCCCCCACAACAGGAGGCCGCGCTCGGTTCACTGCAGCACTTTATTTCCTCACACAAGGACGCGTTGCTGGGGCCCAATGTTCTCACATGACAGTAGAAAACCAAAATTTGTCATCTCAAGAATTGAGAATTGCGTACAAAAACCTTACATAAATTAAAAGAATGAATAAATTTACAGGTGTAAATGCAAACCGTTTCCCAACTCAAGGCAGGTAACAACCCATGGTGTTCTGGTGGGAAAACATCAAGGGAGAAAGGAAAGTGGGTCCTAAGGCTCGGCCCTTCCCAGTCCCATCAGACCAGCAAGACAGAAATGACAACTGCTCAAGGACTCTGGCCAGCCTCCAGAGAAACCCTGGAACAGGCAGCTGTTACACGTTAATACCCTGCACAGATCAAGAAACTCGGTCTCAAATTCTCAAGCCAATGGACTTCTCTTCCATGGACATGTTCTCACCTCAGCCACCAGGTGACCAAGCTGGGTGTACCAGGGGATTAAACCAAAGATATGTACAGGGTATTAAACACATACCAAGATAACAGTTAACTTGAATACAAGGTCAAAATCAGCAACAAGTTCTACAATCCAGTGCTGATATCAAATACAAGCTTCAAGGACAAATTTCTTTTCAAAGGCTTATTCCAGTTTCATGAGGCTAGCAAGAGGAGTATACATTTGCCAGAGCAAATTTATACTTCTGAATTCACTCATGCAGCAAATGCTACGCATCTGCCCACAGTCCATTTAGAAGCATTTGCGGTGGACGATGGAAGGGCCCGACTCGTCGTACTCCTGCTTGCTGATCCACATCTGCTGGAAGGTAGACAGCGAGGCCAGGATGGAACCCCCGATCCACACTGAGTACTTGCGTTCAGGAGGAGCAATGATCTGAAAAGACAAAAATATGGCTTTAGCTCACGGCACTCCCATCCCAGCAAGGCCTTCTAGCCCAAGCCCTAACACTTGACTCACCTTGATCTTCATCGTGCTGGGGGCCAGCGCCGTGATCTCCTTCTGCATCCTGTCGGCAATGCCGGGGTACATGGTGGTCCCACCAGACAGCACAGTGTTGGCATAGAGATCCTTGCGGATGTCGACATCACACTTCATGATGGAGTTGAAGGTGGTCTCGTGGATGCCACAAGACTCCATACCTAAGTGACAAAGTCATCCCTTAGCATCACATAACCCTTTCAAGGGGGAACAGCACTGGCACCCCTTGCAGCCTCCAAGAGAACTCATGGAGCCCAACACCTACCCAAGAACGACGGCTGGAACAGTGCCTCTGGACACCGGAACCGCTCGTTGCCGATGGTGATCACCTGACCGTCAGGCAACTCATAGCTCTTCTCCAGGGAGGATGAAGAGGCAGCAGTGGCCATCTCCTGCTCGAAGTCCAGGGCGACATAGCAGAGTTTCTCCTTGATGTCACGCACAATTTCCCGCTCAGCCGTGGTAGTGAAGCTGTAGCCACGCTCCGTGAGAATCTTCATGAGGTAGTCTGTCAGGTCCCGGCCAGCCAGGTCCAGACGCAGGATGGCGTGAGGCAGGGCGTACCCCTCATAGATGGGTACAGTGTGGGTGACTCCATCCCCAGAATCCATGACAATACCAGTGGTGCGGCCAGAGGCGTACAAGGACAGCACGGCCTGGATGGCCACGTACATAGCCGGAGTGTTGAAGGTCTCGAACATGATCTGGAGAAGGCAATGGGCTCCTTAAGTGGTGGCAGAGACCCGGGGCCACCCCATGCACACACGCTACATGCTAGCATGCTACAAATGTGATGTGTGGAGAAAAGAAAAGGAGCAGGCACAAACACAAATAAGAAACCTTGAGACTTCAGGGAGGAAATGCCAGGAGAGGAACAGAACCCTGGAAACATTGAAAGAAATACTTGATTTTCAGAAAACAAACTCGAACAAAAATGACTTGTGAATCAGACCAAAAAGTGGAACTGCGGGGCGGCGCTTACCTGAGTCATCTTCTCACGGTTGGCCTTGGGGTTCAGGGGGGCCTCTGTCAGCAGCACAGGGTGCTCCTCGGGGGCCACGCGCAGCTCGTTGTAGAAAGTGTGGTGCCAGATCTTCTCCATGTCGTCCCAGTTGGTGACGATGCCGTGCTCGATGGGGTACTTGAGGGTCAGGATGCCGCGCTTGCTCTGAGCCTCGTCGCCCACGTAGCTGTCCTTCTGCCCCATGCCCACCATGACGCCCTGGTGTCGGGGGCGCCCCACGATAGACGGGAACACAGCCCGAGGAGCGTCATCCCCAGCAAAGCCAGCTTTGCACATGCCAGAGCCATTGTCGATGACAAGCGCGGCAATTTCTTCTTCCATTGCGATCTGTTTAAAGATGCAACCGACTTACGCGGGTCCCGGCGCCCCGGAACAGCCCCTGCAAAGACCCTCTTCACACAGAGGCTCCGCCTCCCCCAGCAGGACCTTAACCGCCTGGAACCGAGGCCCGGCCTTTCACGTAACGCCGCCCCCCCGCCCCGCGCCGTTCGTTCCGCGGCGGCGCGGCCGGGGTCTCTCCGCACTGCGGGCCGGCCCCGCCCTAATCCCCTCCCCCCACGGCCGCGCCCCACCGCTGCGCCCGCGGTGACCGGCGAGGCGCCCCCGTCCCAGCCCACGCACCCGGCCCGGGCCACCCTTTGTTCCGAAGGCGGCGCGGCCAGACTTCTCGGGCCAGGAACAGCCTGCGGAGAAAAGCACGGGAGCTCGGGCCCAGGACTTGGCGCGAAGGACCGGCCGCTTACCGGAGGAGGTGGCGGCCGCGGCGTGCGGAGGAGCGAGCAAACGAGTCACGAGAAGACACGGAACACGAGACGGCTGCAGCAAGTGAGACCGACTGCGGCCTCCCCCGCCACTATTTAAGTGGAGCGGGGCGCGCGCGCGGGCGGGTGGCGCGCGCGGCCCCAGAACATGTCCATATATGGCGATCTTTCCGAACGCCGGGCGCCCATTGGCCCGCCCGGCCTGGGCACGTGGGGTCCCGCTCACGGCCCCGCCCACAGCTTGCGCCGCCCCCAACGCCCCCTCCCACCCCGTGCTGTCCCCGCACCCAAGACCCTACGTCCGAGACCCGACGCCGGAGACCCTGCGCGCGAGACCCCGCGCGGGCCGGCGGGCGGGCAGACGTCCCTCGGGGGTTGCGGGGAGGGCCACGGGGCCGACCGGCCGGCCCCGCCCCGGGACTGCCGCGCGCCGTGGGGGAGGGCCCGACTGCACCCCGAAACTCTCCAGCCCGGCGCTGGGCCGCGCCCCGGCCCCGCTGGGGGGTTTTGTTCCCTGCGCGCCCCTTGCGAGCTTCCCCCCCGAGGCTCCTCAGAGTGCATGGGCCGCGGAGGCCGGTTACCGGCGCCGGGCTGGGGGAGGGAGGGATGGGGGTCCCCGCCGGCCGCCTTTGCGGCACTCTGGGCCCCGCGGCCCGGGGGAGCCCCGGGGAGCCGTGACCTCGCCCCCCGTCATGATGGGAAGCAGCCGCCCGTTCCCCAGCGAGGCCACGACCCCGCAGGCCCCTCCGCCGGAGGAGAGAGTGCCTTGGGGTCCCTGGCAGTGCAGAAACAGAGGCCCCGTTCTACCCACGACGCATTTTGCGCCTCAGACTGCAGGCCCGATTGTCCTCAGGAGCGGACCCCACTTGGGTTTGGGGCCACCCCACTCTCCATCCAGTGGGAGGGGATGGGGCTTTGCTTCATTTTAATCACCTGTAGGCAGTATAGGGAAACTGAGGCAGAGAACATTCTGACTGCCCAGTGATCGACTCCCCCCGAGACTCGGGGGGCCCCCTCTTCTCTGTTTATGATACTAGAAGAGAGTCAGGGCTGGAGTGGGTTTGCTGACTCCTAGGAACAGGCCGACCCCGCTGCTCCCCTGCCCTCGAACCCAGCTGCCCCTGGGCCGGTGAGTTCTCCAGGGCCCAAGGCGCGCCCTTTATCCCAGCAGCCTGCGCTGGAGGACCTGTCATCACGGCAGGGTCCTGGCTGCACCTGCTGGCGCCAAGGGTTTCCTTATGCCCAGGGGTGAACCAGGTACTGTGGTTTTCTTGGGTTATTTGTAAGCTTCTGGAATCGCTGCGTACAGAATTAAACATCAGAGAAGATGTGAGGAAGACTCGTGGCCGAGAGGAGTGGCAGTGGGGCCCGGCAGAGTGAAGCGAGGCCCTCAGCTTGACTTAGACAGGTGTCTGACAGTGAGGGGCCTGGGCCGGGTGCCCCGAGAGTCCTGCAAGGCCAGGCGGTGACCACATCCAGGGATGAGAACCCTGGGCCCAGAAGGTAAAGCAGCTGCCCAGCTCACCTGCGGACTGCAGTCCTTTAGATGCCAAGGCCTTGCCTATGGCCACCCCTGCCACCGGGCCTAGCTGGGTCCCGACTCCCCAGACTTGCCAGGTGCGCAGGGCAAGGTTGCTGTCCGTCAGGTGTGTGCCCTACCCATGGGAGAACGCGGGGATGGGCCTCCAGAAACCCATGTTACTCGGGCCCTTGGGCACAACCATTGCCTGCTCAACCCCCGGGTGGGGGCGTCAACGATGTGAGGACGACTCCTCAACTTGGGGGCCCCAAGATGCCACACAGGACACGGGGAAGTTGGGAAGTAGCTAAGGTCTCCTGGCCGTGTGTGCGGCCCAGTCGCATTCCACTCCGGCTCCTCCCCACTCCGATTCCCTCTAGCCTCCCGTCTCGTGTGTGCCGGGAGCGGCGGCCGCACTTGGCTGCCCGGGCTGCTTCTGGGGAAAGATGGCGAGGGGGCGGAGGCCCATGGACCTCTATTCTCGCCCTCCCTTCGTTCTTCCCCATTTTGCAGTCTGCAGGACGCCAGGTGCACCGCGAAACGGTCGTGGGGGAAAGTGGGGCGGCCGAGGAGCCCCGAGATTCCCGCGGCTCCCCTTCGGTGGACCTCCAGCCCCACACCCGCAGGGCTGCAGTTACGGGGGAGGGGAGGGGGTGCTCCCGGCCGGCCTGGCGCGGGGGTGGGGGGGGCGTGCTGCGCCCTCTTCCGCAAATGTGTCACCCAGCGCGGGGGGGCGGGCAAGGTGCGGCCGCAGGTGTGCGGGCTGGGGGCGGCGGTGCGCGGCGCGGCCATATTTGGCGATTTCGGCGCCGCCTGGGAAGCAGCGGCGCGGGCAGCCCCGTCCCCGCCCGGCCGTCGGCCCTGAGTCACCGGCCGGGCGGGGGGCGGAAGTAACGGACGGGGGGCGCGCGGCGCGCTCCTCTCCTTATTTAGTCAAGGAGACCGCGGATTGGCCGGCGGAACAAAGGGGCGGTGGCGGGCGGCCTGGGAGGAGGCGGGGCGGTCCCGGCGCCTCCGAGCGGGCGGGGAGGGGAGGGCAGAGGCCCGACCGCTGTTCCCCACCCCCACCCCGGTTTTCCGCGCCCCTCCCCCCAGACTCCGCTGCTCCGCGTCAGGCCTGGCCGCGGGGGGAGTGGGGGCTGCCTGTGGCCCCCGAGGCCAGGTGTCCGCCGAGGGTGGGGGGATGCGGAGCTGGGTGGTGGCAGGGGAGGGGAGGGGGCGCCCTCCCTCCTGGGAAGTACCACTAGGAGCCGGGAGTGAGTGGACGCGGTGCGGCCAGGCCTCGGATAGAGCAAGGCCTCCAAGCCCGGCGCCGGGGCTGGGGAGCCCCGCGTTTTGCACTATGATTTTTCTGTTTTGCAACTGGACAGTGAGAGGCCTCCCAAGGTCGCCTCCGGGCTCTGCTCTTGGAGAGCAGGGCCGCTCTCACCCCTCCCGGAGCCTGGAGCTGGAGAGGGCCGGCGTCCCTGGGGAGGGGACCGCGCAGATGTGTGAGCAGGGAGGCCACGGGGGAGTGAGAGTCAGCAGCTGCGCTTCTGCCCAGAGCGGGTGTGTCCTTCCATCTTGAGGATGGAGACTTGGGGCTCAGAGAAATGCCGTGATTTTTCCTAGCTCAGCGCTGGTTTTGGTGGATTATTGTGAGCTTGCTGCATCTCATTTTATCTTTCATCTGTTTAATCACAGAGAAAGGAGGTGGCATCACCTTGCAAGGAAGTGTGGCCTGGCTGAGACTTAGCCGGAAGCCTGCCTCCCTGGTCCTGGGCACTGCCTGGCACCCACCTCAGGGTCCTTTTTTTGTTTTGTTTTGTTCTTGTGTTTTTGTTTTTGTTTTTTTGTGAGGAAGCTCAGCCCTGAGCTAACATCCGTGCTAATCCTCCTCTTTTTGCTGAGGAAGACCGGCTCTGAGCTAACATCTATTGCCAATCTTCCTCCTTTTTTTCCCCCAAAGCCCCAGTAGATAGTTGTATGTCATAGTTGCACATCCTTCTAGTTGCTGTGTGTGGGACGCCGCCTCAGCATGGCCGGAGAAGCGTTGCCTTAGTGCGCGCCTGGGATCCGAACATGGGCCGCCAGTAGCGAAGCGCGCACACTTAACTGCTAAGCCACGGGGCAGGCCCTCAGGGTCCTTTCTGAAGGGTCTTCTTCCTGACACCCAACCAGTCTGTCATCTCCCTGCTCCAGCCTCCAGGCTGCTCCCCAGGATCGGGGTCACTTCTGCACCTGGTAGCAGAGACCCCAGCCCACCCTCCACTCCCCAACCTCCCACCCCCTGCCTGCCTCCTACCTCTAGCTACCTCCCAACCAGCCAGTTACTTGTCAGGCAGACAGGATAGAGTACTTGGTAATAAGTCCCAGCTCCTGGCTTTTGCCTCTACTATTCTACCTGTTAGGAATGCCTTTCCTTCTCCTCCCTCCAAAGGCATCATGGGATCCTGGGTTGGATCCTGGAACAGAAAAAGGACAGTAGTGGAAGAACTGGTGAAATTTGAGTAAAGTGGAGTTTATTAATACAAAGTACCAAGGTCAATCTCTCAGTGTAACAAGTGTACCAGGACTGTATAAGATGTTAACATTAGGGGAAACTGGGACTCATCCTGTCTTTGCAACTTTTCTATAAATCTAAAATTATCTCATAATAAAAACTTCATTTTAAAAAGCCCAGGGAAAACCAAAGTTTCCCTACCCTCAGCTCACTGTCCTGTTCTCCCAGGCCTGTGGGCAGATCAAATACAAGATGATTGTTCTGTCACCTAAAGCCCTCTCCAGGGTGCCAGGCTGGCTCCCATGGGGGCAGGGCCAGCCCCTGGAGTGGCTCTGTTGGGAACAGTGGTCCCCAGGGCTGCGCTGGTAGGCAAGGCCAGGTTCCTGCCGGCTTGGCCGGCCTGCCTCTGAGTTTCAGGTCTTAGGACAATGTCAGGGCCACACACTTCTGTCTCTGGTCTGGTGCCCAGCAGGGGCTTGTTCTCCTGCCAGGACTGTATAGACTGAGGCACAGAAGGTCCAGCTGTCTGGAGGCCGGCTGTACAGTCACTTGGGCTGCTGTGAGTTGAGTTGGGTGCTGTGTGCTCAAAGCTGCCATTTGTCCTGTGCCAGGATGCCCCAGGCCAGGCCTCTTCATGCCTGAGGAAACGCCATAACTGTGCCATTTTACAGGTGGGGAAACTGAGGCTCGCAGTGTGTGCCTCCCACGTGAAGTTCCCAAGTGCACAGAAACACCAGGCCAAGGGTCCCCCCCCACCTCCCCTTCCCCCTGCTGCTCCAGTGGTGGAGGGCTCCAGGCCTTTCGAAGACAGGTCCCATTGGAGTTTATAGGAGATCCCTGTCTCTCCACTATGGTGCAGCAGGAACCAAGGAGGCCCCTGGAAGAACGCTGGGCTGGGAGTCAGGAGCTGGGTTCTGGGCCAATCTCAGCCCTGTGCCAGCTGTGGCCTCCCTGGGCCTCGGTTTCTGTAAAGAAGATAGGCCAGGGGCCGGCCCCGTGGCTTGGCGGTTGGGTGCGCGCACGTTCCACTGCTGGCAGCCCGGGTTCGGATCCCGGGAGCGGGCAG